AGACATAGCAAATGGCACTGGTATAATCTAGTTTTAACTATATTTTCTTTATCTCATCTAATGCCTTCAATTTCCTTGGCTTATTTATTTCCTTTCTGTGTTCTGTATAATTTTGTTTACTTCAAAAGAGAAATGCAATAGTATCTATGTATAAAACCAACTTAATTATTTAAAGCAAGTAGTACTACACTGAGACTATTCCTATTATAGAAAGTATGCAACTAAGGAATTCTAAATGTGTCCTGAGCTACTAAGGCCACTCAAGAGGTACTTATACGTATAAACTGCAATATATTCACTTGCTTAAGCAAAGTAACTCCCAATTCTCCAACTAAAATTTTTCCATATCCCTTCCATTCCCACAGTATCTTTTTAGCACTTTTTAGATGATGACCAGCAGCTTGAATCATACCTGGAAGCCTACTGCTGGCCAGTGTAGCTCGGAAAACAGTGGTGCTTTATGGAGGTAACGAGAAATGCCAAAAACTGCCCATGTCTCTGCATTCTGGATCAGCTGCAGTTTCCGAGTGTTCTTCAAGGGCAGCCCCATGTCGAGTGAGCTATAGTAATCCAAACGGGGTGACTAAGGCATGAGTTTCCATGAGCAAGGCCTCCCAGTTCAAGAATGGGCACAATTGGTACACAAGACAAACCTGTGCAAAGGCCAGGTTGATGGCAAAGAGAAACAATTGGACTATTATATTGAAGGCCCTCTATAGAATTCCTTGAATGACTTCACCTTGGGCACCCATCTTTGAACTACATGGATAGCTTTGTCTTAATAGATAATTTTCTCCTTTAAGCAAAGTGATTGATTTTGGAGGTTAACCTGGAGAAAGAGGTTAAAGAGAAAATAGGGAGAAGTTCCAGAGTTTTGCATCATCAATTGTTGATAGGTTTACTCTCCTACATTTTAAAAAGTTAAGTTAAAGATTATTTTAATGAACTTTTTTTCCCTATGATGACCAGGAAAGCTACTGGTCTGACTTAGCAGAAAACTGCTTTATCTATTTCCTCCATAGTCAAAGTAGTCGTTTTTTAATTTTAAAATAATGCTAACACATGCTGTAAGACAAAGTTATACATCCCTCTGTCCCCCTTAAAATTTAAAATATATATAATGCATCATCATCCCTGTTGGTGAATATTTATTAATTACCAGTGTTTCAAGGCAGGAAAAAAGCCTTCATAAATTGAAAACATCTAGTAACACATTCCAGTCCAAACACACAACAGAAAATCTCTTTCAAATAGATTGGTGAAAAGTTATTCCACTATAATAAGTCATATATTCCCACCTTTGCTCTAGAATTTCTGTCAGTCTTTTAGGAAGATTTTTTTTTGGGGGGGGGCATCAAATCTCTTAAAGTCAGCATTATTGGAAGAACACTGTGGATTCTAAATTAATATTTCTAATATTTCTTATTTTGATTTTGTTAATAGGAAAGAAATGGGTAAGAAAAGGGTCTCTTGGTATCAGAAAGGTATTTGGGGCATTCTTTCAAATACAGAGATAGATGGAATTCTACAGCAGAGGGACAAAAAATTGTGAAAGGCAACTTTTCTTTAGACCTATAGCAGTAACTCATAAAGTTGTCTTGCAATAATTAGAATACTTGGCTGAACTAGCATATGCTTTTTATTGATAGGCAGCAACTTTCTACAATGTGAAGATGTGCTGGATTGGACTTGAAACCATCTGCAAAATATTGAAATCATTTTAAAATTCCTGAACAATTGACCCAGGGTGACTTTGGGCCCTTCCTATGAAAACTGGTAAGGTTGTCCTGTAAGACACTTTCCCCAAACCACACAAAAACTATTTTGATTTTTTTGTAAGAAAAGCAGGACACAGAATGTGATACTTTGCATTATCTCAGAGGAAATAAAATTCTGAGATGCAAAGAAAAAAACCCCCAATTTTTATTTATTTATTTATTTTTATACAAGTAATAGGTATGAACATACTCTCTGTAGAAAGAATCTTTATTGCAAGCCAGTGCTGGATAGGACTAAAGGTGTGTGCTGTGACAAGTGGTTACGGTTCTCTATACTTTTTTAGTATCAATCTTATATTTGGCACCTGATTTTCTCTTTACTTTCTAACACAGCAAGAAAATATCAATGCCAAAACATTTTAAAAATTAGGTTGGGGGATGCACAAAGCCTAGGACTGCAGCTTCAGCTGGTCAAAAGGGGGAAAATGTATTTAGACGTCAAGCAACTCAAGGAATGCACTTTTCTTACATTTAAAAAATGGTTGGATGTTATCTATAGATAGTCCTCACTGACTGCTCATTCGGCAACCATTTGAAGTTAAATGGCACTGAAAAAGGATTTACAACCAGTCCTTGAACTTGCAGCTGTTGCAGCGTCTCTGTGGTCACGATTTGGGCACTTGGCAACTAGCACACATTTATGATGGTCACAGCATCCCACGGTCATTTGTTCACCATTTGTGACCTGCACAAGTTGGCTTGCACAAGCAAAGTCAATGCTGAAGCCAGCAGGAAGTTGCGAGTCGTAGTCATGTGATTTCACACTTAACCACCATCGTGATTTGCTTAACGACCGCAGGTGGAACTGACATTGTAAGTTGGGCATGATCATGTTTCATTTTACAACCGGATTGCTTAGTGATGGAATTGCCGGTTCCAATTGCGTCAGCAAGTGAGGACCACCTGTAGTATAATTAAGGAGCAACAGTATTGGCAGTACTGTGAATAAGTGAAGGATCTTTTTGTAAAACACATACCTTATATTTGGCAGATTACAGAATCTGTATTGATTGAAGCCATTTTTTTTAAGGCACACTTCATTAAAAAAAATTCACAGCTGAAAGAAACTAATCAAATGAACAGTATTTTAACATTTATTTGATGATATAGCCATCTGTGTTGTTTTTTGGATAAAGCCAAATTTATTATATTTAAAGAAGGGGCATTTCTGAGAAGGGGACAAATGTTATTAAAAGGATGAAATGGTTTCTGCCTCATTGCCTGTTAAAAAATGGGTATGGACTCCATTAACAGTCAAGTAGAAGCTTCTTCCTCACTCCTGCCCCATTGTAGATAATCACTTTCTAAATAAACATAAAGAGCAGAGAGTTTAGTCTTGTTCAGATGAAGGGTCATTTCAGCAACAATGGAAGGAAGCATGGTTGCCTTGAAAGATTACATCACCAACTGGACTTGGGAGAGGATGAATTTGTCCTTGCTGCCTGACTGAAGAATTTTAACCCTTTCTGTACTGCTGCCCAATGCTCTGTCTTTTTTGTGATGAAATCTATCTTGTTCAGATGAAGGGTCATTTCAGCAACAATGGAAGGAAGCATGGTTGCCTTGAAAGATTACATCACCAACTGGACTTGGGAGAGGATGAATTTGTCCTTGCTGCCTGACTGAAGAATTTTAACCCTTTCTGTACTGCTGCCCAATGCTCTGTCTTTTTTGTGATGAAATCTATCTTCCCTTCACCTGATCTCCACTCAGTTCTATTTCCAATTCAGTCTTTCTCTTCCTGGTACTCTTCCCTTGTCACCAGTGGTTTTTTTTTTTTCTGTGTGTTTCTGTTGGCAGAAGGGGAATGTGTACATGCATGTGTGTCCATATGTATACAAGCAGACTGTGTATCAATTAATTTTACAGATAAAGTGCCTTTATTACAGCCAGTTAATTTTAATTGGTGCTCATTGATTCAATTAATCTTGATGTATTTCTTTTCTGTCCTTATTCTGCATGCTTGATTTATTTAGGGAGTGTGTCTTCTAGACATGGCATACACATGTACACACATTTTGGGGGGAGGATGTCTTTAAGACTGTTTTCGTTGGGAATCAGCACCCACAGTGAAGAAAGTTGGTTGTTGCATAGGAGTGTTTTGTTTTTATTTTTCAGGGATCTCACTATTTTTTTTCTGTCTGTTCCTTTTCTGGGGGTCAGAGTATTATTACAAATTCTGGGTCATTTTTCTTTTGGATAAATATAGTATATATGGAAACAGCATTTATTCATTTTGACAAGTCATGTTGTTATTCTCTGAGTAAGAAACCATCCTGAATTTTGGAGATGTATACTTAATGCTATGTGAAGTGTTTTAATGCTGCCAAACATATTTCTAAAAAACTTAAATGTAACCACCTCATACTCAACATATTGTTCAACAACTACAGCATCAGTTGTCCTGCAACATTCATCTCCTGTGCTTGTGTGTGTATTAGTCACCCTCAATGAAATGAAATATCCACATCTAACATTTCAGAACAGAGAAAATAATGTAGCATACTATCTGTACCAGAAAGTGATTTTTTTTGTATGTGTATTGGGGAGAGATTTGTTTTTTTAAGATATATTCAATATGTTAAAATAAGTTTCAAAAGCTAATAACCCAAACTTCATAACAAAATATTACATGGGTCCTTATGCCCCTGCATGACTATTTATTACTGGAGTTAGTTTTGTTCTATAGTAGCTTTGTTCTAAAACAAGGATATGTTAAATTACTGCTTCAGTTTAAACAATGCAGGGCCACCCACAGATCATCAATCCTAATAAATCCAGACCTTCATTTCATGGAACAGAGATAGCAATAAGATGCAGACTACGCTATAAGTAAAACAAGTTGTATGTTTAAAGGTAATCTCCTAAACTCAAGTCTTCATAATTTAATATTCCATAGAACCTAGTTTCATAATGCAAAATAGATTTCTATAATAGTATAACTTGTCTTGTGCATAATTAGTATTTAATAAAATAAATTGCATTAAGATAATGAGGTATACTTTATATCTTGCTGTATCATATTTTACATTAAGATGTGTGCATGATTATATGTGAGATATCATTGTATTATTCCTACTGGATTTTGATTTATGACTTTAAGACCCCAAACAATTCCTGCAAATAAAATTATATGTGTGGCTCTCCACTACATATATAAACATTGCATGTACCCTGCCCCCCCAAGCAAAGCAGCACAAAACAAAACAGAGATCATTAACATTATATTTATTTATATTCCAGCTTCATACAAACTGGATAGAAGCATAAACATAGTACATTTCTACCATTTTCAACAAAAATATATAACCAATATGTACAATTATTGTATTAAAAATACAAAAGGGATACAGACTCCACCAATGTCTTTCTAAAAGACATACAGGTACAAGTAGTATCAAAAGTATGAGGAAATCACCAGTAAGTTGTACATTCTGCACTTGACATCACAGAGTGAACTGAGATTAGCAGTCCTATGGTCTACAATTACTTAATTCCTATATAACATTTGTGCAACTTGTGATACAGCTAGGTTTGTTCTGTCTTGCTATATGCACATGAGGTCCATAGCCTATATAATGAAACTGGCAAATGCATATTACATGTAAAATTACAAATGCATAATTGACAATGTGATATATAAGCAAACAGACAAAAGCCATGATTATAGGAGAAAGAGAATAATTAAATAAAGCACTGACATTGCTCAATACAGTGAAAAAACACTGTAAATTGATCTTTATAAGTTGAAACTATTTACTTTTATCTACCGATCAATATGATCAGCTGAGTTTAATGAAAAAAATCCAAGACCAGCAGTCCCTCACATTTGAGTACTACTCGGATTGGCAGCCTTCACTTTTCCGGAGTCTGTGCAAAACCAAAAATAACAACAGAAAATAGAAAGGGGATGTAGTTTCATTTCCATCACTAAAGGGTTAATAGCAGCTGTAAGCAGGTGACTGATACCCACTGGCCTCCTCTACATATGCAATGTTCCATAAAAGACAATTGTGAATATTTGTTCACTGCAAAAGCTTGTTGATCAATACATATCTTCTTCAAAAGTTTCACTATTTTCTAATGCCAAGCCAATAACAAGAAGGTTTGAGATTAGTATTAAGGATTGGCACTGGTTGCAGTGTGTGCTGAATTGCCTTAATACATTACCCTGATTATTTCTGTGTGACAAAAACCATTACTTAGTACAAGGAGGAGGATGGGAAAAAACGTATAAGTATTTTAAGCAAAAGATGATATTGCCATTTGACAACTGAGGACAAATGTTTTTACTCACCATCCTGTATTCCTCAAGGCACAGGAAAAGGACACTAACTTTCTTCACTGATTACTTGCAAGAGTCAACAGAACCACATCATTAGAGATGCAAATCAACAAAACCAGCAATTCTGAAATTCATCAACTGTGCTTTGAGTGGGACACTAAAAATGAAGCTTGAAGATCAATAAAAGGCTGAATCCTTACTATAAACCATGCCATTTTTAGCTAACCACATCATAGCTTTTTTTACAAAAAGTAGTCCAGGCTAGCAAACCTTCTTAAATAGTACAAAATAATACTGTAGTTAATGTAGGTGTAACCCTTTATCCCTCTCCAAATACAATATATAGAGTAGCACAAAGGCATTGTAAACAAGCAACAAGCACTGTGTACTTGAAGGATTTCAACACATTTCTTTCTTAATAAAGGCCAAATGTATTTGTCAACTAGTTGATCTCATCATCACAATGAAGGGAAGTGCTAGAATCATGATTAAGATAGGAAAAAGAATTTAAAATGCTTCCAGGCATGGGAAAGTGCAGTCAGAGTTATGATGAGTTGATCTTGGAATTTGGAATGATACTGTGTGATGTGGTAGACAGCGACAGTGATAGCTGAGAGAATGCTGCACTGCGCATTTCAAGCAACACAGTTTGAAAAGTGCCAGGGCAATTTCTTCACAGTATTTCACATGCAAGGGGAAGAAGAGTGGGGGAAGAAGGGGAGAAGAAGCCCATGCTGCTTTAAGGCAGGAAGGAGGCACAGGTCCACCATCCTTTAATTAATGTTCCAAGGCTCCTATATTAGGGATGTCATCTTGTGCTCTCCTTAAAGTTGGCTTACTTGTAATCCCGAAAACTCCAATTCTTAGACGGCAGAGACTTGCTCATCTTCTGCAAACACAACATGACAGGAGGGAAATAAAGATAAAGATACTTAAAACTTAATACCTCATGAATATATATATATATATATATTCTGTGTTCATATTTTATCTTCATTAATCATTGAACTTTTGGGGACCATGTTTTCTTTATTTCCTCTCCGCTAAGATGCTAAATGTTAATTTCATCAAATCAACTAATTAACAGGTTAACTGACGTTCTGTTCAGTAAGTTTCTTAAGTTATATGTTTGTCACATACTTTTGTTTATTTGTCATTCTTGTCTCCTAGTGTCTACATGCAGTTTTCTTAGCGATATTTTTCAGAAGTGGTTTGCCATTGCCTGCTTCCTAGGGCTGAAAGAGTGTGACTGGCCCAAAGTCACCTAGCTGGCCTCATGTCTAAGGCAGAACTAGAACTCACAGTCTCTTGGTTTCTAGCCCAGAGCCTTTAACCACTACACCAAACTAGTTCTCTCACATATATTTGGTATTCTTAAATTTGGTTCCATTTAATTATAATCCTAAATGATATATTACAGTTGAAGTACACCTTTATAATAGGCCTGAGGGACTTTTCTGGAATTTGAGCATACCCTGCTAGCATTGTGGAACAACATCAGGAAGGCCACAGTTCCTTCAACTTTAAATATCTTGGTATACAAAACAGTGTATTTAAAAATGCCTTTAACATTCTGTTCATAGAAGCTTTTTTCAACAAAAAGGCCATACACCACATTTAAACAATTATCAGCATGTGGTATGAGCTTTCAGCATGTGGTATGAGCTTTCTCACAAAGGCTTGGAGAAACCTAGCATATCTACCAGACAATTAATAATCTTATGACCTTTTACTTTATAAACATATTCAGGCAACAAACTGAAAAATGTTAAGGTCAAGCCTTTAAGCCTTAAGGTCAAGCCTTTAAGCCTTAA